CATTTGTTAGGAATTCATTCTGTAAGAGAATTGTTTCCTTTTCTATCTGGTTTCTCGTCTCTGCAATTTGCTTCGGAGCTAGACACATCCTTGGATGTTCCCAGGAACATCCTGCTCCAAAGATAAGAGGGGGCTGCCCAGGAGTATGAATACACAAAGACAAGGGATACTGTGTAAAATAACAAAGTATGGACAGAGCACGGACAAAGAACGCTCCATGGATGAAGAAGGGGAGGGCACGGGCAAACCATCGCCTACATTAATAACGAACCTTTGTCTCTGATTGGATTCAACGTAAAATGTATATAATACTCCGAGCCCCTCTTGCAGAGTGTGGCTATTCCTTACGTGCACTTTGTCTGTATGTTTTGAACATAGTATTCACCCAGACTTTTTGCTTTGACCAAGGAATAAAGAAGCGGTTATTTTTGCAAGCCCTCGTCTCGAGTCTCACGCTTTGGCATCTCCGTGGCTCGGGGAAACTTCTGGGACCTTACAATAGGTTGGGACATTAAAGGAACTATTCATTGCGTGACAATGAATGGCCAAATCCTCAGTCCGGTTATGTAAACGAGTCTCTTAAGTTAATAGGAGGTAGGCCATCTGGAGAGCAATTTATCCAACCTCTCCCAAGCAGAGTAAACCAAGCCCTCGTTTCTAGAATTCTCGCTGAACTTTGTAGCTGCATGGGGACATTTGCTTCTGCCCCACCTGTTCACAGGTTAATGATTAAACTACCTTCTTCTTTTCATCCATATGCTCCTTATTCAACTGTTCAATGTGCTAAATGGACTGACTTCTTCCAAAAAACAACGGACAATGGAATTTTCTCTCACAGGGTTATGAGCAACTGGGAAGGAATTTACATTCCTTTCTGAAGTGGGGCGGAGACCTTTTCAATAGCAAACATAGCTGCATCTTGGATTGTCTGGGGATGTGTATGTGTGTTGGTCAGAACTGCATTGCATAAAAAACAGGAACAAGGCTTGGTTTGCATAATTGCAGTTAATATATTGACTTACTTTGCATCCATCTGCAGACCTCTCTAGACCCCACTCCAAAAAATAATTAGGGGGCAAGGTCCAAAACTATATTTGATTTCATTCCCAAGTGATTTGAATGAAATATTAAGGGCACAGCCTTCCTGTCATGCAGTTGATGAGTTCCTTCTTCTGTCTTAATGAAACTTGCTGGTTGGTAACAATCTTCTGAGATCTCTGAAGGCCATTCTCACAAACCCTTCTTCATGTGCATCTCCGTTAGCCAATACAGTTTCCCCATCCATTTCCAGATCTTAACTCCAATATATTCTTATATATAAATATTTATATATAAATATATATAAATGTACCAATTATCACACTAAACAAGAGGAAATCCTTCTACACACCAATTCCACCAGCGCTTTCTACAATTTTGTAAACAACAAACTAAAAGACTCAAGGTCCATCCCTCCCCTAAAAGAACCAAATGGTAAAGACTGCAATGATGACACCATTAAAGCCAACATCTTTAGCACCTTCTTCGGCTCAGTATTTGTAAACAGCAATGGATCATGCCCAGTATTTCCTCGTCAAACCACAGACAACTACAATGATCTAATACATATCGATTTTACAGAAGACAATGTTGAAAAAGCACTTCACAATCTAAAACCATCTTTATCTATTGAACCAGATGGAATATGTGCCTATTTCTTAAAAAAGCTATCCACTGCCATAGCCGAACCTCTAAGCATAATCTTTGAAAAAACTTTCAGGACCAGCTCTTTGCCAAACCTATGGTCACTAGCCACAGTCATCCCCATCTTCAAAAAGGGAGACCCCAGCCTCATTGAAAATTACAGACCAATCTCTTTATGCTGTGTCATCTGTAAAGTCATGGAATCAATTATTAACCAATCCATTATCCTCCATTTAGAGACAAACAACCTACTCTCTAACAAACAGTTTGGTTTCAGAAGGAAACTGTCCTGTAACCTCCAACTCTTGCACTGTAAAAACATATGGACTACACATCTTGATCAGGGCAAAGCAATTGATGCAATTTACATAGACTTCTATAAAGCCTTTGATTCAGTGGTACACGACAAACTACTCCTAAAACTAAGGTCTTATGGTATCTTTGGATACCTGCATAACTGGATAGAAGTGTTTCTGTCTAACAGGCAACAAATGATCAAAATTGGGAGCATCCTATCAAATCCTGTACCTGTCAACAGTGGTGTCCCCCAAGACAGTGTTCTAGGACCAACTCTCTTCATACTCTATATTAATGACCTCTGTGATCATATTAAAATCAAATGTGTTCTTTTCGCTGATGATGTAAAGCTATTCAACACCACTGATAATGCTGCTACCCTTCAAAAAGACCTCGACTATGTGTCAGAATGGTCAAACAAATGGCAACTTCAAATCTCAACAAATAAATGCTCTGTCCTACATATTGGCAAAAAAAATCAAAAATCAAATACAAGCTGAATAGTCAAGACATTGTTGATGACAAAAACTTTGTCAAGGACCTTGGAGTACTCATCTCAAATGATCTAAGTGCTAGAGCCCACTGTAACTACATAGCCAAAAAGCCATTAAGAGTTGTTAACCTATGACAGCACATTGTAAGACACTTAAGGAAAATAATTATGATAAATTAATGCAACAGGTAAAGAAGGATTTAGAAACATGGGGCAAGCTGCAACTTTCATTATTAGGCAGGATCGCTGCTATTAAAATGAATATTCTTTCAAAAATCCTCTATATATTTCAGACGATCCCAATCAAAGTACTCAATTTTTTTTTTTGAAGAACTTAATAAAATAACTGTAAAATTCATCTGCAGTTGCTGGGAGCAAACCTGACTTTATCCTATGTGGTCTTTGGTTATTGGTGTTCCTGGCGTCTTCCCAACCGTGTGAGTTTTGCCATGCCTTCAAGTCTGAAATTCTTGCTCCTGCCCTGCCAAGCTAATTACCTCAGTTTGGCTTGATTGGACTTAAAGTTACAGTTTTTGTTGACCATGTTTTGGACTTGATTCCCTGCAGTTAAACAGTTCCCTGTTCCTGGGAGAGTTTTTCTCCAGCCAGAAGGTAACCTGGACATTGGGGGCAAAGTTGGAGTTAATAAAAGGACTCTTATTGATTATCTGACTGTGTTGCCTTTGTGCCACGCCCTGTGTCATCACATACTCCATGGTGTTTTACTTTTAAGCCATTCGTGCAAATTTCAAGCAATTGTGTGAATGCCTTTCCTCAAAGGATGGCTTGCTTGTTTTAGTAACTCTGGCATGGGTGTTTTTTATTACCGTTATACTGAAATCAGGCAAGGAGGCAAGGATCATTAAGAATGGTCTACACATAAAATAAATGAATGACCCACTGAGGCATCAAAAGCGTTTATCATTTCAAAAGGTTGCCGCTGTATAAAGGATTCCAAGAACCCATTTAGTGTATGAAAAACAGTAAAACTTCTCCCAATTGTCAAATCTGCTTCATCTAAAGAAATGCAAAGAATCTTCCCAGTTTGTGTAGTCTCACCTTGTGAAGACCTATCTCAATAACCTTTGGGGTGTGGGGAGAGGGGTTATCTTCATAGGATAGGGGCAGACCTGGCTAGGTTCTCCTGGCCAGCTTGACCAATTGGAAAAAAACAAGAAGCAACACAATGCAGAAAAAAGGGGGGGGAAACCCCCCCCACACACACACACATTTGGTCATCTCCAAGCAATTTTGGCTGGTGTTCTTGATCATTGACAGATGAAACCCGGTGAAGGATAGCCCAAGGAGCCCTTGACTTCCGTCTCCAAGCCATAGGCTCTTTCCAGGACCCTCTGCGCATCTTCTGCGAAGCTATCCAGAGCCGTGTGAAGCAAATAGTAGGCGGCCACAAACGAGACAGCCCCGGCGACCAAGTTGTTGAAAACGGGCACTTGGCTCTTCAGCACCGTGGCTGCCATTTGCCTGCAGAGTGCAGCTTGGTGCAAAACCGCCCGGATGGCATCCTCCGGGAAGTCTCTCGCGAAGGTTGAGCGCACCTGGTTTTTCAACTCGTGTGAGGGTTTTGAGACCGTGGCAGCCAAGGCCTCCAAAGAGGCATCGTCCAAGCCGAAATGCTGCCGGTAGTTCTTGAGTGTCCCCTTGAGCATGGGGAGGTTGAGGTGGAACGGGTGGCCAGGCAGGGCTGAAATGATACACGCCAGCAGCGCCTTCTTCCAGATGTGCTGGCGCAGCGAACTCTTCTTCTTTTGCACAGCTGCGGCCGTGACGGAGGGGAAGGAAAGCAGTAGGGTGTGTCTCTTGTGACCCTCCAGCTCTTCAGACAGAGTTTCCTGCAAGCGGTGGAAATCGAACCTGTGCAAATGGAAGCTGGAGATCAAGAAGACCTTGGGCGTCTCTAGGCCTTCCTTCTTGAGCTGGCGGGTGCAGTCTGACTCTATTTCCCGCAGCACCTCCGCTTCCTGGAAAACGCTGGGCCTTCGCTGTTGGGAAGCCCGCAGGTCCTGGTCTACCTTGGAACGGACGAAATAGAAGCGTTTGCCCAGGGCAGCCACAGCCCGAGCCAGCTGGGCATGGTTCTCTCGGAAACGCTCGGAGGCGACGATGATGAAGAAATCGTACCTCTCAAACCTCACCAGCTGCAGGTATTTTGGGGCTTGGAAGGAAGGGGTGCCAATGCCTGGCAGGTCCCAAACCCGAACACGGGGAAGATGAGGGTGGTGATAAGGAGTGGCCGAGAGAGTAGTCTCAACCACGCCCGTTTTGGCCGCCCGGATGTCATCGTCGCTGACCCCCAAAATGGCGTTGATGAAGGTGGACTTGCCAGCCCCACCTTCGCCCGTCACTGCGATGTCCAGTGTGGTGGTTTCTAGAGAATCCAGGAGTGACTGGACTTGAGAAGACACCTCCAGAACGACTTTTGACTGGATGACAGAAGCCATCTCTCTGAGGTCCGCCTCCTGGATGTCCATGGTGGAAGCTCAGCTGAAAGAATAGAAGAAAATAAAGAAATGAATTTTTTTTCTATACAAGCCATTTAAAAAAAAAAAAAAACGCGCTCCCTTTTTACCACCCTGTAGTCCCTATTCAAGGGAGAGTCGGGGTTACTAGCCAGATGCCCTTCCTGACACCTACACGGAGTTCACAGCAGTTATTTTTTTCTTTGGACCTTAGGAGAGAAATATCTGTTGCTACCTAGGACTGAACTCTCAACCTTCTGAGTGGGAGGAAAGTATCTTCACCACTAGATTAACACAATGCACTTCTTTCTATATATGCAAAATACACTGCTCAAAAAAATAAAGGGAACACTTAAACAACACATTCAACTATGTAATGAACAAAGTATTTAATAAGAATATTTCATTCATTCAGATCTAGCATGTGTTATTTTTGTGTTCCCTTTATTTTTTTGAGCGGGGTATGTCTTTTCTATATATGCAAGATATATCTTCTTTCCATATATGCAATAGATTTCTTCTTTCTATATATGCAATATATTTCTTTCTATATATGCAATATACTTCTTTCTATATATGCAATATATTTTGGAAGTTGTGGGAGCTTCATCACTGGAGACTTTCAAGAAGAGACTGGACTGCCATCTGTCAAAAATGGTGTAGGGTCTCCTGCTTGGACAGGGGGTTGGACTAGATGACCTACAAGGTCCAACTCTATTAATCTGTACAATCTATATTTCTTCTTTCTATATATGATATATTTGCAAAATGTAGAAAGGGCACCAGCTCCCTCTGCTGGGCAGGTTTAGTCATGCACTGCTGATTAGAAAGCACCGTCTCTACACCTTACAAATAACTCAAGTGACAAACATATTTTCCAACACACCTTCTCCTCTTATTTTTCCCCACAACAACGATGCTGTGAGTTGAGTTGGATTGAGAGAAAGGGACTGGCCCAAGATCACTCAGCTGGCTTTCATGGCTAAGGCAGGATTTGAACTCACAGCCTCCTGCTTTCTAGCCTGGTGCCTCAACCACTAGGATGGATAGCCCGCTAACTCTTACTTCCTTCGAGCTAATAAATAGGTGAAGCAATCAATTAAAGCTGTTCAGGAGAGAATTTCCTAACTAGATCAGATTGGGATCCATTGCCAAAGTGATGATCCCATCTCAGTACAGCTACTTCTTGACTTACGACTTAGGAATTGAGCCCAAAATTTATGCTGTTGAGTGGGACACTTGTGAGGTGAGTTTTGCTCCATTTTATGACCTTACTTGCCACAACCGTTAAGCAAATCCCTGCAGTTGATAAGTTAGTAACCCAGTTGTTAAGTGAATCTGGCTTCCCCATTGACTTTTTCAGATGTCACAAAAGGGGATCCCATGACCCTGGGACACAGCAATGGTCATAAGTATGAACCAACTGCCAACCGTCTCAATTTTGATCACATGATCATGGAGATGCTACAAGGTTGTAACTGAAAAACAGTCGTAAGTTTTTCTCATTGTTGCAACTTTGAACGGTCACTAAAGGAACTGTTGTAAGTGGAGGATGGCTTCGTTTTATTGTATGTTATTGAGTTCTTTTTTAAGTATAGTCCTTGACTTACGACCAGTCATTTAACAAATAGTCAAAGTTCTGATGGACCTACCTTGCTGCTACTTATAAACTGGATTTGAAGTTCCGACGGTCAGTTCACCTCCCCAGTCACATGATCAAACTTGAGCACTCAGAAACACACCTACATTATTATAGCCCTCTGCAACTTCCTATTGTCATCTGATCATGTTTAATGATGCTTTTGCAGAAAATCTGGTTTTTGGCCAAAATGCAAACCAATGGTTTGCTTAATGAGCATGTCTGGTGCTTAAAATGGCTGCATTCTCTAAACAATCGTCATGCAAAAAAAAAAAAATTAATAAAAGCAGGTTATGAGGTGAACAAGTGAGCGCTTCATCCTGCCCATTATGGTCGCAAGTGATGATGGCCTTGGTGGTCCACAGAGAAATATCACCCCCAAAGCAATTAATCCAGGCTGTGCGGGAACACAAGGCTGAGCCATCCACATGGCCCACAGGAACACAAGGCTTGTGTCACTTGCATTGCGAACAACACGAGGTAGTGAGGGGAGGGGGGAAAGGGCAGAGGTGGGGACTTGCCCCACTCACTCCACGCGCCTGGCCTGGCCACCGGACTGCTTCTTTCTTCTGCTGTTGGCTGCATGCAAGGAAAGCAGCAAAAGTCTTTCTTTCTCTCCCCCAAACTCTGCCAGAAATGAGTCTTTGGGACCCTGCAAGGCATCCTGGTCCAAGAGGCTGTGCCGGTGTGACAGGTCCCACAAAGACTCATTCCTGGCGGAGTTTGAGGGAGAAAGACAGACTTCTGCTGCTTTCCTTGCATGAAGCCAAAAGTTTCTCCCCCCCTGCCCCCGCCCCCCGAGAATGGAGCTGGAGATGATATCCTGAGATTTCAAATGAAGAATGATCGATTGGTAGGAAAACACGATGGGGAATTTTCCTGCAGACATTTTGGGGATTTTCCCAGGGTCTCTGGTCCACGGGATTTAAAATTAGGAGTTTGGTGGTCCCCGAGGTCCAAAAGGTTGGCGACCCCTGCTATATTTGATCCTAAGGTCCACATAAAGGTTGTGTAAAATTGCATTTCTGTTCACTGAACTTTTGTTTTCCCTCCAAGCCTGCCAATTTCTGCCCACTTTTTCTCTACGCGACTGCTGCTTTCAGTTGAATTCCACCAGTTCCTAAAACCCACAGACATTTTCCTCCTACAGCTACTCCGTTTAGAATCCACAGTCCTGTTCACAGGGCAAACCCACGGTCTCCCTAAATAAAACAACAAGAGAAGGAAGTGGTTGTGCTCCTTTTTTCTACACTGAAAGAACAACCCAAACCACGCAGAGCAATGGCGCGCACACACAAAAAAACGCCAATCCCAGCAAAAGAAGAACGTTGCAAACGACAACTTAAAAACATGAACTGAAAAATCATCCTCAGCAAATCATCAGCAACCATCTCTGCACTCACCCACTCCAGCCCACCCTGTCCTATCTGAGAAAGCACATGATGTTCGTTTGTTACACACATCTACAGGTTATTCTCCAAATGCGACCACAATGGAGCCTAACATTTCCACTGCTAAGCAAGGCAGCCATTAAGCGAGCCACACATCATTTTGCAAACTTTTTTTTTTTGCCACGTTTCTTTCGAGCAAATTGCTCAAATTGTTCAATGCATCTCATGGTCAGTAAGTGAATCTGGCTCCCCCCCTCTTTGCTTGTCAGAAGCTCTACAAAAAGATTGCAAATGACAACCTAAGGACTCCAGGATACGGTCAACATTGTAAATTCATGCTGGTTGCTAAACATCCAAAGTTTGATCACGGGGATGGGGACACAAGTATGAAAACTGGCCATGAGTCTCTTTACAGGAGGATATTTTGTACCTCTGGGTTGAAACACCTGGAATACTGCATCCAGTTTTGGTCACCACATTATAAAAAAGATGTTGAGACTCTAGAAAAAGTGCAGAGAAGAGCAACCAGGATGATTCAGGGAGTGGAGGCTAAAACGTATGAAGAATGGTTACAGGAACTGGGCCTGGGTAGTCTAATGAACAGAAGGACCAGGGGAGACAGGATAGCACTCTTCCAATATATGAGGGGCTGCCACAGGGAGGAGGAAGGGGTCAAGCTATTTTCTGAAGCACCCAAAGGCCAGACAAGGAATAATGGATGGAAACTGATCAAGGAGAGATTCAATCTGGAAATAAGGAGAAATTTTCTGACAGTGAGAACAATCAACCCATGGAACAAAGGTTGCCCTCAGAAGTTGTGGGAGCGTCATCCCTGGAGACTTTCAAGAAGAGATTGGACTGCCCTTTGCCAGATGACCTACAAGGTCCCTTCCAATTCTGATTATCTGTTATCTGAAATGAAGGGTCCTTGGTGCTCTGTGAGCTTGCTTGTTTTCTTGCAGAGGTTTCAAGACCCAAACTAGGTAACATCATCAGGGCTAGTAAGGAGTGGGGTTTGCTGTCAGTTTATATTCTGGTGACTTGGCCTGTCAGTGCTGGTGGCCTTAGAGGCCCCTTGGTTGGGCTGTTTACTGAATTTAATTCTTTATTGTCATTGTACGTATATAAACAGTATACATACAACAAAATTCACATAATACCCAGAGACCAGATGCAACATGCGCACACACGTGACAATCCCCAAACACTCCCCCCCACCCACCAAAATTCCCCACCCCCTAAAAACACACAAGCATCCACACAACAGACGAAGTAATACTGTCCAACAGCTCACTGATGGTGGTCCTTAAGTTCATTGTTAAGTGCAGTTATAGCTCTGGGATAAGAACTATTCACAAAACACGTGGTCCGAGTTTTAATTGTTCTGTATCTTTGGCCATGGCATGGCTGTTTACTGGTGGCTCTTTGGCAGTTTCGTCAAGAATCTGTGCAACACAGACCATCAACCAGCTCAAAAGAGAAAAAGATTCCAATAACTTCTCCACCAGTGATCAGCAACCAGATCAGCCATGGATTAACTCCAAGGTTAATACCCCAATCGAAAAACTGCCAGAGACCCATCATCGGTAAGCAGCCCAACCAAAGAATCTCTAAGATCACCTTCACCAACACCTACAGGGCAAGCCACCAGAATATTACACCACCACCATCACCACCACCACCACCACCACTACTACTACTACTACTACTCGAAAGCTGGCTGAGGAATTCTGGGAATTGAAGTCCACAAGTCTTAAAGTTACCCAGGTTGGAGACCCCTGTAATCTAATCACACTCGGCCAATAAAGAATAATATTCTATATATAATGAATATCTTTCCAATCAGGGAGAATCCGAGCCCACCAATCACCTCGCAAAAGGATCCTTTCCAAGCCGGCTTCGGTCTTGCAGGAGCCGTGAAGGAGGGAGATGAGCGCAATCCCAGGACTCCGAGAGCCCCGCGCTTCTCTTTCTGGATCGAAGAGGATTTTTCTCTCCCCTCCCCGGTGAAACGAAACAGAGAGACCTTTCGCTCGAGTGGAAGGGAAAAGAAAGAGAAACTGGCCCTCCAGGAGGCGGAGCCGCTGCTGCCCGAGCCGGGAAGGGGGAGTTGCAATCTGAGCTTCCCAAAGGGCGCAACCTTGGACGGCATCCTAAATGGAGTCGGTTGTAAATCTCCATTTCTTCGTCCTTGGGTTGTGGGGGGAGGAGGTTGCAGACCTGCTTATTCTACCGGTCTATGGCAGGGGTCTTCAAACTGGACAGCTTTAAGACTTACGGACTTCAACTCCCAGAATTCCTCCTCCAGTCACGTTAGCTCAGGAATTCTAGGAGTTGAAGTCCACAAGTCTTAAACTGGCCAAGTTTGAAGAGCCTTGGTTTATGGAGAATCTCCCAAAACGTGTGCTTATTCTGTCTATGGAGATTCTGCTCCCCCCCAAAATCTGTTTATTCTGTCTATGGAGATTCCCCCCCACCCACCCACCCCAAAATCTGCTTATTCTAATGTCATCCCAATCTGTATTTTTATATGCATTTGTTGCATTTTAAAAGTACGCCATCTTTTGGGGATGAAAAGTCTACAGGCTGCCTTCCCACAAAAAACTCATTTTTCTCCTACAGGAGCCTTGTGGGCTGGGCTAAGAAATGGGGAATTCACCTGGAGAATGGCTGTGATTGAGGTTTCCTTGAAATTTGGGGTTCTTTGGGGTTACCGCCCTTCCACAAGACTTGCACTCCAGTGGATATTGGTGTCTTCCAGGACACCATAAATGAGGGGGTCTCCAAACTTGGCCACTTTAAGACTTTGTGGACTTCAACTCCCAGCATTCCTCAACCACCCATGCTGGCTAGGGAATTCTGGGAGTTGAAGTCCACACGTCTCAATGTGGCCAAGTTTGGAAATCCCTGCCACAAATGAAAAAGGCTGAAACGAATGCCCCCCAAACTGATTTTTTTTTAACCATTTTTGAGAAGTCTGCCCAAATTTTTGAAGGCTTTTTTTTTTTGTCCCTTGCTCGTTCATTTATATCAGGGGTCCCCAAACTTGGCAACTTTTAAGACTTGTGGACTTCAACTCCCAGAATTCTCCAGACTGGAGCATTCTGGATGTTGAAGTCCCCAAGTCTTAAAGTTGCCAAGTTTGAGGACCTCTGATTTACATGCAGGATCAGGGAACCGAGTTCAAACTTCGTGGGAATGCGGCTGTTGAGTTTGCACGTGAAAAGTGCTGCTTGAAAGTAAACCCACCTCCCCCTCCCCCCAATTTGGCCGGCCTCGAGACGGGAGGCGGCGAAGAGGGGGGGCGTAATCTTATTTCGGAATGAATGAACGCCACCTTTATTTATTATAACTCAAATGAATTTGGAGGGCACCAGGTTGAAGAAGGTCAGGCCAGGCCAGCGGCCCAAAGAGCTCGCCCCTTTCTGTCTCTATGGTTACCAAGCTTGCGCTACAAAGCAACGCTCACGCAAGAACGAAGGGGGCGGGGCGAGCAGCTTCTGACTGCTAAGTGTGGAGGGGAAGCCTGCAAGTTCGCAACGTTCGCTGGGAGGCGGGACCCAGCCTCGCACTCCTATTGGCTGGCCCGCGGGGAGCGACAGATCAAAAGGGCTTAGCTGTTCCCAGTCTAGGCGAGCGTCTTCTAGGCGTGTGATGCACGTCAGATGACTAACAGAGTTGGAAAGGATCTTGTAGGTCATCTAGTCCAACCCACTGCCCAAGCATACAAAAACTGATACAAAAATCGATCACCAAATTGCTGGAAGTGCACACAAGGGAATGGAAGTGCATACATGGTGGTCTTGTAAAAAAGTACAGTTCTGTAAGAGCATCTGGAAGTGGCTAGAGAGGAGATGATGGAACTAAAAATAGGTTATAAACCAGCATTTTTTTTTATTGGGAATTATATCAGAGAAATACAGCAAAGAAGAGATGTATTTAGTAATCCATGTTATCAAGACGGCAAGAATGATGTTTGCCCAGAAATGGAAGGCTAGAGAAATTCCTAGTGAAAATAAGGTGATAAATAAGATTTTGACATGTGCTGAAATGGACAGACTGACTTTAGAAATGAAAAACAAGAAACCACTTAGAGAGGGCTGTAAAGCCTGTGAAGCGGCATATAAGTCTACGTGCTGTTGCTGTTGTTTGCTATTGCAGGCTAACTCTGCTCACTGCCAGAAGTTCAATCCTGACCGGCTCAAGCTTGACTGAGCCTTCCATCTTTCTGAGGTGGGTAAAATGGGGACCCAGATTGTTGGGGGCAATAGGGTGACTCTGTAAACCGCTTAGAGAGGGTTGTAAAGTGGTATATAAGTCTAAGTGCTATTGCTATATTCAAGAAAGCTTTTGCCACTGTTGAAAGAACAAGAGAGGGAATCTCTCCAGAGAGCTATAAAGTTTCCACAGCCGGGATCGGCTTCCACAGACTGAAAAGGTCAAGAGGGGTTAATTGAGGACACTGGTCTTCACTGGCCATTTTCTAAACGGCCAACGTCTTTGGGACGCTCTGGGCAACGCAGGCTTTATACGTTTAAACATGTGAGCAAGATTTGAGTAAAATCATGTCCAGCAGGCCCAAAATGTTGCTGTTGTAAATAGGACCTTGCTTCAAGGAAGCCAGTTCAGAGCCTTTTGGAGAAGAGAGACTCCCGTGCCAAATCGGGGCCTCAGATGCTGGCTTTTCCAAAGAACAGCTGCCAATTTCAGCTGCTCCCTTTTTTTAGCGGTGTGAATGAGGCAGTTTGGCCCTTGGATGTTTCCATCCTTGGAACAAAAGTCAATACTGCAGAACAGCGGTGTCAAAATGGGATTTCTTTGAGGGCCGAATCAGCATTGTAGTCCTCCACGGGCCGGGGGGAGAGGGGAGGACGGATGACTCCTGCAGCACTCTGCCGTCCAAAAACGAGCTGTGTGGGTTGTTTCTGGACTGGTTTTTTTGGCCCATTTACAGAGCTACTTTTGGCCTGTTTTCCGAGCCATTTTAGGCCGTTTTCCGGCCTGTTCTGGGGCTCTTTTGGGGGGGCATTTTTGGCCGGTTTTTGGCCAGCAGAGTGCTGCAGGAGGCCATAGAGCTGTGATGGTAAACCTATGGCACACGTGGTACAAGTGGCACGCAAAGGCAAACTTGCCTTGCTGCGCATGTGCACGCCTCACAGCTGATTTCCCCCCGCCCCTCCCAGTCAGTTTGGGGGCTTTTTCGGCCTCCCTGAGGCTTGGAAAAAGCCTCTGCAAGGCTTCTTAGACTGAATTATAAGCCCATTTTGTCACTTCTGACCATTTTTGGCACAGGAGCCCCAAAAGGTTAGCCATCACTGCCATAAAGGGTGAAAACAAGGGGGGGATGCACACTGCCCGCTTTAGCCACCAGAGGCACTGCAGGCTGGTCCTTTGATATTTCCAGGCCAGCCCCACCGGCCAGATTTAAGCATCGTGTGGGCCATATTTGGCCCATGGGCCTTGAGTAGAAGAATAGAGTTAGTAAGAGGTAAAAAAAAAGTAGAAGGTGGATTTTAGTCCACTGGTCATTGCCATCTAAGGCACTTGAAGGCCAGACAAGAAGCAACGTGATTCAACCTGATAAAAAGGAGAAATTTTCTGACAGTCAGAACCATGGAAGAGAAATTGCCTTCAGAAGTTGTAGGAATTTCATCACTGGAGGCTTTCAAGAAGAGACTGGACTGCCATCTTTCAGAAATGGTGTAGGGTCTCCTGCTTGGGTGGGGGGTTGGACTAGATCAGGGTCACCAAACTTTTGGACCTCAGGGACCATCAAACTCCAGCGGACCAGAGACCCTGGGAAAATCCCCCCCAAAATTCCCCACCCCATTTTCCTACCTTTCAACCATTATTTGGCATCGCAGGATACCATCTCCAGCTCCATTCTCAGGGGGAGAGAGAGAGAGAGACTTTTGGCTTCATGCAAGGAAAGCAGTAGAAGCAGCAGAAGTATTTCTTTCTCTCCCCCAAAGTCCACCAGAAATTTGCCTTTTGGAGCAGGATGCCTTGCAGGGTCCCAAAGACTCATTTCTGGTGAAGTTTGAGGGAGAGAAAAAAAGACTTTTGCTGCTTTCCTTGCATGCAGCCAAAAGCAGAAGAAATGGAAAGAAGCAGCCCGGTGGCCAGGCAAGTCCACCCCCCCTTTCCCCCTGTCCCCTCACTATCCCATTTGCAATGCGACGCCTTAATTGCTTTTGGGGGGGGGGGTGCTTTCTCTGAGGATCACCAAAATTTTCTCACAGACCACCAGTGGTCCCTGGCCCACTGGCTGGCGATCCCTTGACTAGATGACCTATAAGGTCCCTTCCAACTCTGTTAATCTGTTAAATCAGGGATGGTGCTGTTCTGTTTCAAGGCCATTGAGCTGTCCGAAGACATTTCCATGGTCATGTGGCCAGCATGACAATCGAGAACATGATCAGCTTTTCCCACAGAAGTTGTATCTATTTATCTACTCACATTCCCATGTTTTTGAATTACTAGATTGTCAGGAACTGGGGCGAGGGCGGGAGCGGTAACCTCATATAAAAAGATGTGCCAACTCTGCCAATATTGAGTTGCCTGAATACCAACTTCAGGCATCGCTCTGCACATTTGCCAACACTTACAAACAATACTCTATTTCTACCACACCATAACATGCACGAGTCAAATGTGCTCCTGCCTTTTGTCTGGCCCCAGAATATTAGTTTGGTGGCCCCCCATAGAAGACGGTTTCTGGAGCCTGTCCATATTAAGACAGGCGGACTTCGACAAGCTGGCTGGGGAATTCTGGGAGTTGAAGTCCACCTGTCTTAATGTGGTTAAGTCTGAGAAAGATGATAGCAATAGCACTTATATACCATTTTATAGTGCTTTACAGCCCCCTCTAAGCGATTTAGTACATTGCCCCCAACCATCTGGGTCCTCATTTTACTGACCTCAGAAGGATTGATTTAATCTTGAGCTGCTCAGGATCAAACTCCACACTGCAAGCAGAGTTAGCCAGAAATAATTCATTCTAACCACTGTGTAGACACAATCTATCCCA